GGATCTTTCTAGAATTTTGAACATGATGCCCAGGTGTGGCTGGGCAACCCAGCTTTTAAAGATTAAGTCATTCTGATGCCGTTGAAAAAAAAGCTTTTTTAATTCTCCATGAATCCATTTCCAGGATCAGGAGGAAAAGGAACAGGAACAGGAAAAGGAAATGGAACTGATCCAGGATATCTGGATTATAATATTGAGGCCAATATATACATAGCTTCGATCTTGGCTGGGTAACTTTCAGTGAATCACTGGAATAAAAGGTCGTTGATCTAGTATTGCTCTATCCCCTATGGCAGACATACTGTAATCTTATATAATTTCAAATCACCAATTACTTTCAAAATAAAAATGATCGAATAATTTATAATATCCACAGGTTAGCTTTGTCCAGTGAGGATTTGGTTAATGACATGGAACTGATCCAACGCATCGCTGGAGGCCTACTAAAAGGAGAATTCTATGAAAAAGCCGGCGACCTTTACGAACGCGTCAATGATGAACAAAAGGCAATGGAATGCTATAGCCGAGGCAAAGCATTTGGAAGAGCCGTTGAACTTGCTCGACTCGCCTTTCCTTCAGGTTCGCCTTTCTATCAACACGTTTATAGTCTGATTCGTCCATTCGAACTGATTGATTGATATACGCAGAGGTTGTTACGTTGGAAGAGCAATGGGGAGACCATTTGATGAGCATAAAGCAATTGGACGCTGCCATCAATCATTACATCGAGGCTGGCAACACTGTGAAAGCGTTGGATGCAGCGATTGCCAGTCGTCAATGGAGACGAGCTGTGCAAATCATTCAGGTAGATTCAGCAAACAAATTCGAGCCAGTGAGATTTTCAGTTTGAGAAACGAGCATTTTTGTTGGGGGAGAAGAATAAATTATGCAGGAAATTTGTAATTGGTGATATTCTGGGCTCGAAATCGGTTTTCTTGAATGAGTTGACTTGATGCTGAATTTGCTTGCCAAGGCTTTTTGCCCGATTGGTCTTCCACTTCCTTCAAAAACTCAATAAGTGAAATTTTCGCTGCTTTTATCTTTCCTGTGTCGATAAAACAATAGCCAAAATGCCTCCAGAAAATTTTATTAAGGGAGATTTGAAAGGGAAAGCGTTTATGTTGAAAGGTTTTTAATGCATCGCTTCTAAGGGAATTGAGACAGGGACTTAAAAAATATTCAACATGGCGGAGGTTTGAATTATTGAGGTTTTACTAAAGTAATGTATGACTAGTGTTCGTTTCGACTTCTCAAGTCAATTTCGTTGTTCCGTGCGGAAATTCCGCACCGCTCCCTATTTCAAAATTGATTTTCTATCCGAGAAATATTAAATTTTTTCATTTCTTTGTCCGATTTTAGGTCATTGACAACCCATCAGCCCTAGGAAAATACTACGGAAAATTAGCTGAGCACTTCACATCTATCGGAGATCTTCAAACAGCGGAGAAGTTTTATCTTGATGCCGGCCTGCACATGGATGCGATTGAAATGTACAACAAAGCTGGTACGTTAAATGAATTTAAATCCAAGGTCTTTAGTCAAGCAAAAGGTTTCTGATTCCTTGGTTGTTCAGGACAATGGGAACAAGCCCATAGGCTAGCTTCGAAGTACTTGAGAAGTGACGAAGTTGCTGAAATGTACATCACGCAAGCTCAGAATCTAGAGCTGCAGGGAAAATGGCGCGATGCCGAAAGACTGTACATTGCTGTTGCCGAGCCGGATTTGGCAATAACTATGTACAAGAATCATCATCAGTTTGATCAGGTACTTCATTCGTTCCGTTCGGGTCATGAATCATGATTTTTGAATCTGAAGTTTCACGAAGTTTTTTCGTTCGATTTTCAAATGGAATCGAACGCTTTAAACATTGATTTCCGATGCGTGGAAAGAATAGAGTCGTCAAAAGAACGCGTTGGAATCATTCTTTAAAAAAAAAAATGTTTTGTTATGTGATTTACAGATGATGAGACTTGTGTCACAGTACCATCCCGATCTTGTGGCTACAACACATGTCCATCTCGCGAAAGAATTGGAGAATGAAGGAACTTATCAGCAAGCGGAGAACCATTATGTTCAGGCACAGGAGTGGAAAACTGCCGTCAGCATGTACAGAAATGCTGAATTATGGGAAGATGCTTACCGGGTTGCCAAAAATCATGGTGGACCTCATGCAGGAAAACAAGTGGCATTTTTGTGGGCAAAATCACTGGGCGGAGATTCAGCTGTGAAACTCCTCAATAAGTTCGGACTATTGGAGCAATGTATTGACTATGCTTGCGAAGTTGCCCTGGTGAGGACATCCGGATTTCGTTGTTCATTTTTTTCTGATACAGTATACAGTAGGTTTATGGATTGGTTTAATTTTCGCAGTTCGATTTTGCCTTTGATCTGGCGAAAACAGCTATAAAAGGCAAGCTCCCAGAGATACATTATAAGCATGCGATGTCTTTGGAAGATGACGGGAAGTTCCAGGAAGCTGAAGGAGAGTTTATAAAAGCAGGGAAACCGAAGGAAGCCGTTTTGATGTAAGTCACGTTGAATTTTCATTTTTCACCTCAGAAGTTCGGTGTAATTGCATATGAATGTTTTAATTCGCTGTGAATTTTGATTTTACTGCATAGAAGTTTCTCTTATCCAGAAAATACAGTATTTAGGATTACCACGTGCCCTCAAGTTCAAACTTTGAGAAAAGACGTCACTTGATAATTTGTTTCCGACTATGACGCGAACCTCCTTTTTTGTCCCATTTTATCGAAAAATTGTGCGCATGGTACTCATGTACCACGCGCTTCAAAGTGGGGCGCCCTCAACTTTTGCCGACTGAAATGTGGATGGAAACGTATCCCCCGGTTAAACGCGCACCCCATTTTTTAGATGTGAAAATTCAAACATTTTCAAAATTAAATGCATAAGAATTTAAATTTCGACTTCGATAGTTGTTCTGGTGAACGTTAACTTTTTCATTAATTTTATTTCAGGAATTGTTAGTGTAGTTAGTGGTTAAAAATCCCCTGTTGGAATCAAGTACTGTATAAGGTGCACGAATGCTTCACAATTTTTCAAAAATCTTGTACACGCTATGATGCAGACCTTTTTTTCTGTCTTGATAAAAAAAAATAATTGTATGGTACTTCAGTAAGAACGGAAGGACATTTTAAAGTGTGGGATTCAATTTTAAATTTTCATTTGAAAAGTTTCGAGAGAGGGCCTTTGTTGGTAGATTTTCACTGACACTGCGAGGATGAAGGGGAATAAACTGCACGATCTCATGTGTGTTGCATTTCATCAGGTATGTTCATAACCAAGATTGGGAAAGTGCGCAGAGAGTCGCCGAAAGTCATGATCCGGACTCAGTTGGAGATGTTCTCGTTGGACAAGCAAAAGTCGCTTTCACGGCTCGGGATTTTCCTCGATTCGAGTCCCTTTTGTTGCGAGCACAACGTCCGGAGATTGCCATCAAATTATACCGGGTGATGACTTATTTTGATTGCCGTCGTTTTTTTTTCTTCCATCGGAGTTGCTTGTAGTGATGCAAATGAATTAAGAAACGGAAACCGTAGGAATTGAATTGAGAAAGAAAATTTTTCTGTTCTAGTAACTGCACTTCCCTTGACTTTGTGTGAGATTTCGGAATGTTGTGGCTCTAAAAAGAAACGCCTGCGTTTTAGTTTGATCTTCATATTGAATTAGTGCCTGAAGAATGGCAATTGGAATTGTCCAAAGTGGGCCCTAAGCCCTCCTTACAAAGCCGTCTGTCAAAAAACCCTTTCTTACCTTTGCCTTGCAATTACAGTATGTAAAAAGAAAAGTTATGGTCATGTAACGAGGATGATGCATTCCCAAACTTGGGCGGTATACATTGGTGATCGGCACAGTCATTTAGCTGGTTTGTCGTTAAGGTTAATTTTTGCAGCGTTGCACCTGAAAGAATGCAGATGAAATGGTCTTGTTGATCATGACCAGCTTAGAGGTAATGTGTAAATTCTGCAATCCACACTTCCTGAAAAGAAATAAACAGACGAAAACCCTTCTTCATGGACTTTTTCCGCACATCCCTCTAACATGCGATTATTAAATCTGTAAATCCACACTTCCTGAACATGAATCGAGATGAAACTCCTCTTCATAAAGGATGTATCGAGGGTTGGAACTGTCATTGTTTCGCGACAATGAAGACTTGATCTGCGTTCAATTTTTGGTCAAGACATTTTTATCTGATGAATTTGATCCTCGAATAATCTTTTTCATCGTTGAATTTAAATGAAGAAACAATGACATGCGTCTTGCTGATTTGAAATTCCACAATTCTGCGTTTAACCGAAAATATATTATGTTGCACAGGATGGTGGAATGTGGACCGAGGCTTTGCGCTTGTGCAAGGAATACTTGCCCCACAGACTGCAGCAGCTGCAGGACGAGTATGACCGGGAAGTTATGACGCAGCCGGGTCGGGACGGAAATTCGTTGCTGATACAAGCTCGAGACTGGGAAGAATCTGGGGATTATCCCAGAGCCATTGAATGTTATTTGAAGGTGCGTACTAGACGTATAGTCGAACTTCCAGGCAACTACCAAAAAATTCGAATTAGAGAGGTTTCGAGTTACTGTAAAAATAATTTTTTGTTGAGGGGAAAGCGATAAGAATTACAGGAAATTGTAATTGGTGATATTCTGGTTCTTGAATTGTTTTTTGAATGACTTGACGGGATGAAGAATTCGGAGAGAAGGGTTCGTACACCCAATTATATTCTTTCACTTCCATTCAAAGCTCGTCGAGTTGAAATTGCATTTAATTTTTCTTTCCTGTATGAATAAAATGGAAACCAAAAGACCGGCAGAAAAATCGAATGAAGGTGGTTTGAGTGGAAAAGTCTTCGAGTTGAAGAAGCTTTAAATGCGCTGTTCCAATTGGCTTTCAAACTGGGATTACAATTCGACCTTGAGTCATGAAAATTAGGGAGGTTTTACTCGTCAAGTAGTAAAATTCTGCTAATTTTCAGAAATTTGCGAGTTAGTGAAATTTATACTTGTACTGTAGTAAACTTTGCAACAAAGCCACTTGAACCAGTAGCAAATACTTTACTAACAATAGCTTTTTTGTTGTGACATCTTTTGATGAAGTACGGTAAATCATGTAAATTTATGTCTATGAGGCGCGGACCTGAAAACAACTTTGTTGTGGTCGATTATGTTTTACTGTATAACGAGATTCTATTATAGCTTCTTCGTTTTGTAGCAGAACTTTTAATTCATCCTTTCATGCAATTGCTCTTCATTGTCCAGGTAACAACCGGATCAGTTAGTGATCCAATGCAACTGGAAAAAGCGTGGTCGTCTGCTGGAAACCTTGCGTTGAAATTCTTGGATCAAGACAAGGCCATGGAAGTGGTTCGAAGAGCAGGTAATCATCGTATACTGTACTTGTACTTACTTTAACTGAGGGACTGACAGTACGCGTACGTAAATGGCAGTAAGACAAGTGTTAACCACTTTCAATTGCTTGAAGCGGCGGACATTTTTCCACGTTGTGCGACATCAACGATATGTGGTGTTACAGAATTTGGAAACTTCATGATATTGACATTGAATATCTGACAATAATGAAAATGCTGTAGAACAGGCGATGTGTACCCACTCAAACTTGCTGAAATCCTTGCGAATTCTACATTACTCTTCAAGAATATGAGCAAAATATTGTATGATGTACTGAGCTTCTATTTCGCTAGAAAGAAAGTAAACGTTCTACTGTATTTACTTGAGTGCCATTCACACCTTTTTCCTAAATATTGAGAGGAAAGAACAGGCGCGCATCATACGCTGGTATACATTTTTCTAAAAGCTTCAGAAGTTTAGGTGCGCAATTATACTTGACTTTAATGGGACTTTTTGGATTAAGTTTAAAAGAAAAGCTTATTTTCATATAAAAAAAATTTGAAAATTTGGTTAATTCTGGTTTAATTTATGTCTAGAGTAAAATCTGGGTGTTCCCGTTTTGGGAATATTGTAGTTGTAGAATTGCTGGAAGTGGGTTGCGTGTCTTACTTGGGGTTACAATTTATTCGAATTTTTAGGCTGAAAAACTTCTGTGAGCGTCTTATCGAAGGGTGCATGGCACTCAAGTCAATATGGTATACAGGTTTCTACTATCTCCTCTGCAAATATTTTTTCTCTGTATAACGAGTTTTTTCCCCAGTCCCACGATGTTCTCTCCCCATGTTATAGGGGTTATCTGCAAAAGAATTCTCTCCACAAATTTTTACGAAATTTTTTTCCGTTTTTCTCGACGAATTTTTTCTGGTTCCTTCAACTTTGTTTTTGAGAACTCCACCTATATACGATTTGCAGACCTACAGAGGAGTTCCTTCTGAATTCATCATTATTTTGTCAACTTCGAAATGATTTTTGAAAATTTCTCAAGCATGTAAAGCTCTTGAACATCCTTGGAAGTCATTGAATGGAAAATATTTCTCCTTCCAGCTGGAAATTTGATGCAACATTCACGATTCAGTGCGGCGGCGCAACTTTTCCTGGGGGCGGATATGGTGAGAGAAGCCATTGATGCTCTGATAGCAGGAGAAGAATGGGGCAAAGCGAAAAAAGTTGCCAAAGAACTGGATCCACGATTTGAGCCGTATGTCGACTCCAAGTACAAGGACTTTCTGAAGAACGCTGGCAACACTGAGCAACTGGCCAGCGTCGATTTGATCAGCGCTTTGGACATGTACGCGGAACGCGGGGATTGGCGCAAATGCATCGAAACTGCGGAGCAAAATGGGCAGCAGGTTTTGCAGAAATATCTGGCGCTGTATGCGACGCATTTGGTTCGGGTGAGTTTATTTTTGAGTCCTTCTTCAGTCCTCTTGAATTCAGAGCATTGCGGGTGAAAATTTTTTGAATGTGCGATACGATTACTTCTTCGGTATTTAGTTTGCTTTCACGGTAAAATCCGCGAGTGAACCTCTCCAAGTCGAACTACTTCAAGGAACCAGCGAAGAAAATCTTTCTTGGGGAAACTAGCAATTTTGTAGGTGGCAAGAAAGAAGAATTACAGGAAACTATAATTGATCATATTTTTGGCCTTCAATTGCTTCTTGAATGAGTTGACGGGATGTTGAAATCTGAAGAAAGGAGTTATTTGCCCAATCATTCTTGCACTTTCTTCCAAAAGGGAATCAAGTTAAAATTTTGTTGCTTTTCTCCTTGTGTTCAGAAAATAATGCCCGAAAGGCCTCCGGAAAATTTAAATTCGGGAGGTTTCAGGGCAAAACCATCCGAATGCGGGAGGTTTTTAATGCGTTGTTTCCGAAGGAATTGAGAAAGGGTCTTTAGTAATATTCAACATAATGTGTTGACTGAGGGAGGTTTTAGTTATCGAGGTTCAACTGTATTCTATTCGTTGAATCAAGCCACGTATTGACTGTATGATTTTTTTACTGTTTGTAGAAGTGCATTCGAGAGTTCGTGTCAGTTTTTGTTCAGATGTGTAACTCAATTCATCACTACATAAGAGTTCAGTTGAAATAAATCCGTGGCATTTTGT